GTTAATCGGGGGTCGGATAATCAATGCTCTACTGTATTTAATACACGTAAAATAAATATTTTAAACCTATAAAGATGTTTCTTTTAATATAGTATAGTCTACTAGTCTAATAAAGTTTTTGTGAACAAACTTTATAACTGAAATTTCAGTTCATTTTATTTTCATGATGATGAAATTGTTACAATTCAGGATAAAATGAATAAAAATGAAGATTCATAGAATTAATTTCGCTAGGTTTTAAGGATACCATTATAATAGACAAATCACAATTAGTGATTGCCTTATACAAATACTGTAAAAATATTGTATTTATTAGACAAATTGCTGATAAAAGAACATAAGAAAATTATATGTCTAACAAATATAATAAAATTTTCTTGAAATATTTATTACGAAAGTTTAAATCCAAACAAAATAAGCTTAAATAATAGCATATATTTTGGGATTTTAACAAAATAAATTCTTCTAATACTAAAATTTATTACAAAATTCTATATTATATACATATGGCCATTTATTAACATGTTTATATTCTTTAAAAATTTATATCTAAAACTTTGATTTGAACAAAAAGGGAACTTTAATTTTTATTATATTAATTATCAACCTTTACATGATTGAACAATAAGTAACAGTTTTCAGTTTATTATAATAATACTAAATCTTAACAGATAAACAGTGAACTATTTACTCAAATAAATTTATTAACAAAATAAAGTATTTTATTTAAATTAAATTAAAATGTCCAACAATTTAACAAATATAAAATGTATCTGTTAAATGATTTTATTTACATATTTCCATCCATAAGAGAACAATATATTAAACAAAACAAATTGTGGTTTCATTAAAGAAAAGAGACATGAAATAATCTATTTTTTGTAATAGAATATACTTTTTGAAGTTAACTTATCATAATTAGTATTTTGGTAAATTTCATTATTCAAACAATTATGAAATATGAGAAATTCAAAGTTTAAAGACATTGTGAAAACATCTAACATTTAGCAAATGAAAACATTGAACAACTAACTTAAACTTTAATTCACTTTTATTCATCTGATGTAAAAAATACTAATGTGTTTCTGTATCATTAAATACATTTTTTATTCTAAATCTGATATTAATAATTAACTGATTTACAATCAAAGTCATATTGAAACAAAACATAACATACAAACATTAAATGAAATGTAAATTTATTTTAATTTTAAAAACATAAATCATAATTAAAGCTGGGTGTAAATTAAAAATCAAAATAATTAATTTTTTGCTTTTTAGCAAAGTTTGAAAAAAATAGCAAAATGTTAATTACATACCAGTCGACCCCCCATAACACTGTTGATAATTCCGTTTCATATGAATTCCATGTTATACGAGTCACTTAGATTTTACAAATATGTGTGCTGGGCTTTGAACGGCACATGTGTTTGTAAAATCTAAGTGACTCGTATAACATGAAATTCATATAAAACGGAATTATCAACAGTGTTATGGGGGGGGGTCGACTGTATTTTGATAAGCTGTAATAAAATACATGATTAAGTAATAATTAAATAAAGAACTAGAACCATAAAAATTTCAAACAACTTATTTACAAATAAAGTCAAACTAATTTTGTATGTGCATTCTGACTCAATTGTAATAAGTCTGATTATAAAAAAGTTTACTTGTTGATAACTAATTGTAAGACAAGAAAATACATTAAGTATAATTGTTATGTACTGGTAATATTTTAATTTAGTTCTATGATTTTCATAAATTCTGATTGCCCTTGAAATGGGAATTTTTATGTATTCTATGTAATGTGCTGTAAATGCCACTACAATATCAGAAATGATCAGACTCACAAAAACAATACATAAAAATAAAAATAGTTATTCTATTTCAATCATGATGAATGAAATATTTTAACATTTTAATTAGTTATATTGTAGTTTGATATAATATATGCTAAGCACTTATAATTTTTTTTTTTGTTTTACACAAATTATGTTTCTAGAAGATATCTATTAGGTGTTATTAGTTTAATCTCTAATTGCAAATATTCAATCTACAAGAATTCAATATAACAAGCTGTTTTTCTTTTAAATCTCTTTCTTTTATGAGATAAAATGTTCTACCTCCATTCTCTGTTTCATTCATGTTTTGTTTTCATTTGTAGAATAAATGTTATAACTCCATCTCTTATAAAAATTTGTAAAAATTAACTTTTCTAAACAACTTTCTCTTTCCTATAGTGATTGTAATTTCATTAATTAAAAAACAATTTTATGCTACTCTGTTTTACTTGTTTTCTGTTTATTATCTAACTATTCTTATCATTAAACAAAGAAATATCTGATAACTTACATATTTGCTTCTTTTTGTAATACTTCCTTCTCTCATTTTATATATCCTCTTAATATTTTTTAATATTAGTGAATAATTTTCAAATGTTTTCCAAATAAATACAAAAATACATATTTATCAATCAACCAATGTTTATGAATAAAATAAAATAAATGATATGAAAGTGTTGATTATTTTATTCATGGACATTGAATGATTGATAAATATGTATTTTGTATTTATTTGGAAAACACAAATAGTAGGATTGGGTTATGCAAAATGAGTAAAATTTCAACCATAGGATTTCCATTTCAAAAAATAATGGAAATCCTATTTACAAAAAATCTTCAAAGAATGAAGTACTGTATACTCATAAATTGGGGTCACACTGTATATGAAATATCTATCTTTTAGTAATATATTATTTACTAATTGTCATGTAATTACATGACAATTAACAATTTTTTAATGTAAGCAAATTCATAATCATATGATATAGAAAAATTTTGTAATTGATTTTGTTAATTGGATCACAAATTAATTACACTAAAATTACTAATCTTTTCATTTTTTCTTTCTGAAAAACAATTTGCATAGTAGTTTTTGTGGCTTTGCAAAATTTCATCAACATAAATGACAAACTGAATTTTTTAGACACAAAGAATTATAATTAAAAACTGAATCAGTGAATGCAAAGTATTTATTGATCATTTGCATAATGATACTAAACTTTAATTTGCAAAGTTTAAGTTGAAATTTTTCATAAAGTTTTAAATCAGAAACAATGATGGTAATTCTAAAAAAATGCAAATCCATTTTCTGTTTATGATCAAAATTTTGATAATTTAAATTGTTTGATTATGTATTGAAATATATAGGATTAAATTTTCTTAGATCTTATATTAACGCTTTATATGTTATCATTATCATTAGAAACTGAGAATTTGTAATAGATAAAATTTCAAAATCTCTACAGCAAACTAACAACTTTGAATATAATGAGCTTATTAGTTGCCTACTAGATATTTTTACTTGGCATAGCAAATGATTGCTTTGCTTGATATAACTTATGAGGTTTATATATTAATAATAAATTATATTAATTCAAAAGAAAATTATACACTTTATTAGAATAAATAATTAATGTATTAAATTATAACAAATTTATTGCTTATATTAATTTTTATTGTAAATATTTTTTCATATGTACATTTTTCTGATAATGTCTATATGAAAAGACTAGATCTATGAAAAATAAGATCATAGTAGATAATGATAACAAAACAGACATAATTGAATTATTGCAACAAATATTAAGTTAAAACAAATAAAATAACATGCTCGTTTAGACAGAAAGTAAATAAATAATTATAATAGAAGAGAAAATATATAGCAAATAATTGATAATAAATCCTCTCTTTTTATTCATACATAATTAATAAAAAATATTTTGATTACAACAACTAAAAATATAATAAATGTATAAACTTTCATTAAAGAAAATTAATGTCTGGCAGAGCAGCTAAACAGCTGTTTCTATCAACAGGTAGAATTCATTGCTGAAAATTTCCATCACTAGCAAATGTCCCCACTACTGGAAACAGGCTTTCTTTGTTAGAATCCACAACTTCCATGATCAGAAGCTTACAAATGCATCTCACATCATATGCTTTTAAATCTAATACTTGCTCATTCAAACTTGTAAATTTAGTTTTAAAATAAACTACTGATTTAACATCAAATAAGCTAATTGTACCTTTTATGATCATTTCTTGTATTGTTTAGTAAAGAAAAAAAACCAAATTTTAATCAACTTCAAAATTTATTTTTTGTTAACATGAAATATAAGTTATTACTAATTTTTCAAAGTTTTCTACTGGTATGTGAATATCATAATTTTACTTTTATTCATTGCTCTAATAGTACTAAATCATTGTCACATCATTAATAGTATAAATCAGTGATTCTCAACCTTTTTATCATCACGGTACACTTTTAATAATTTAAACATTTGGTGCCGCACACGGTTACTTCGGTAAGTACCACAAGACAACCAGTGACGTCATAACAGTGATTTTTAAACACAGTTGGTTATTTAGGTAATCATTTTCATTTTCTAAATGTCTTGGTAACTACTGGCAGTTACCAGTAACACTAGTTACAATTTCCAAATGCACTCTAGGAAGTTAGAACCAATTGAACTACTTGTCTAACGTCACTCATGTATGGGTATTTGCAGTGGCAGCACACTTCAAAAATCTAGCAGCATAGTGGTTGAGAATCACTGGTATAAATAAATATATGGCTCTAACTGAAAATAAAATGATTATTAAATTACATAACTTAAATAACTTAAAAACTAATTTGTACAAACTAAGTCTAATTTAAAATTAAATATACTTTACATACATACATACATTCACAGGTTATATCTGAAAATATTATTTGACACACAATAAAGTATGATTATTTAAATTACAATACAACACATTAAATTAAACAAAATCTAAAATACTGTATTTAGTTTCTTTTGTTGATTTGTATGATTTAACTTTTTATAAATGTGAAATGTCAATAAAAATATTAGTTTTGAATTTAAATGTTTTGTAATTAAAAAATTAATAAACAACAGAAATTCCAATAAAAAGCAATCATTAAAAGTTACAAACCTGAGTTGACCAAATGTGAACACATTTGTCAAAAGACCCACTAGCTAAATACTTTCCATCAGGACTAAATGCTACACTATAAACAGGTTCTGTATGTTTCGTTAAAGTATAAAGACATGCTCCTCTTTCTACTTCCCAAAGACGAACAGTTGAATCAAATGAAGCACTAAAAATAAATTCAAAATTTAACTTTTCTTCTTTAATTTTAAAATATTCTGAAGATAATTTCATATTATTTTGAAAAATTCAAATTTAAAGATGTAATGTTCCAAGTTAAATCTCAAAACAGAAAACTGAACAATTTATAAAATTAAAAGTAAATCAATTTATTTAAAGTACTATATAAAATCTTTCAATTAATACCCACAATAAAAGATTATTAAGTATAAGATGATTAAGTTAAAGGGTAAACATTTACCTTGCTAATATTAAATTCATATTTGGATTATTTGTTCCTGGACCTGTTGGACTCCATTTAATTGTATAAATTTCTTTACTGTGAGCTTGTAAGTCATGTACACATGAATCCTGTTTCATACTCCAAATCTATATGTAAAAAAGATTTAAAAAACAATTTTTATCATCAAAATAAAATTGATAAATTTACATAGATTTAGAAGCTTAAGTTTCAATATAAAAATCAAAAGTTGAAATATTGAAATTCAATAAAACATTTACAAACTATTTAGCAAAATCATATACAAAATATATATATCATATCCTATTTACAAAAAATCTTCAAAGAATGAAGTACTGTATACTCATAAATTGGGGTCACACTGTATATGAAATATCTATCTTTTAGTAATATATAAAGTAATTTAACTGAAAATCTAATTAATATAAACACATTTACAATTCAATTAAATAAAAACAAAATTATAAAAATTTTTTTTTGTCATTTTATATTAAAAAAGTATTATTAACAACTGCTGAAAACAAATGTTTTCAACAGTTGTTAATAATACTTTTTATATATGCTAAATGCATTAAATATAGTGAATATCAAAAGTAAGAATCCACACTTTATTTCTCTGTCTACCTGGTACCAGTATACTATGATTAGTCTCAATTAGTACCTTACCTAATAAATTCACTAGTTACTTTCACAATATGAATGTTTGTCATCAAAAAATACTGTTAAACAATGTGTGTGATCACACACTACTTAACACATTTTAAATTTCTGAAATATTTGGCACTGGAAAACTTTTCCCAACTTACATTCTTGGTTTTGACCAATGGTTCCCAATTAGTGGTACATGTACCCCTAGGGGTACGCGAAATTGCATGAAGGGGTATGCGCGGCAATCTAAAATAGGTCGATTTAAAATTTAAATGTATGAGATGAAGCAATCAAAAAATAAAGGGTGGACCATCAAAAATTCGGCAATTTACAACATGATGTTGAATGCACAAATTCGTTTATTTATAACTGAAAATATTCTTGAAATTTTATCAAAAAAATGCATTTGTGACAATATCTAAATGAAATTCTTGTGCAAGAAACAAAAATTGTACAATTATCATTATTATCATGTCAACAAAGCAGCAATAAAATATTTTCTACCATTTTGCCAACATACCTCTGCGACAGCAGATTTTAGGCCATGACAAACATGAAAACTAAACATCGTCAACGACTTCGCCTCGAAGATGACTCGAGACCAAAGCTGACCAAAAAGCAATCAGATTTTACTCAGTTGTGCAAAGAAAATCATGCACATTTGTCACATTAAAATTAAATAACCTTATGTTATTTTCATTATTATTAGAATTGTATTTTAAAGGTAATAAATGTAAAAATAAAAACTTATTCTATTTATCACGTGCTGTCTACCCACGGCTTCGCCTGCATTATATTGAATTTTTTCGTGAGAGTAAGATATTTTCTCGCAGTAAAATGTAGCCTATGTCCATCTCCAACATGTAAACTATCTTCGTGCCAAATTTTATTAAAACCTGTTCAGTGGTTTAGACGTGAAAAGGTAACAGACAGACAAACATTACCTTCGAATTTATATTATTAGTATGGATTAATATGAATTTCTGCTATAAGGGGTACGCGAGTTTGAGCTCTTTCCTGAAGTGGTACGCAGGAAAAACTAATTGGGAACCACTGGTTTTGACAATCAGACTGCACTTGTTTGAAAAGTTGAAGACATCCAAGAAGAAGTTAAAAGTTACTATTTCTGCAAGATACATCTTTCTACCATAAAGATTTAAGGAGTCAATTCCAACCTGTTCTATTTTGTTTGGGGGATTATTTTTAGTTTGTTATTCTATTTATTTTGGGGAATTTTAATTCATTAAGGATAGACTACCACAACTCACACAGACAAAATTCTAAACACTAAAACTCTCTTTACCACAATAACTGCTAGCGGCAACCAATTATGTCATCAAACCCAGAAATGACATCTCAGGGGAAGGGAGATTTCCACTAAAAGTTAAAAGAATGATCTCCCACCCAAATTGTCACCAAAAGTTACAACAAAAATACAAAAATTAAAAAAAAAAAAAAAAATTATTGTAAGGGAGATGACACAAAATAATGAAAAGATTACTAGAATTAAATGAATGTTAGTGACTTAAATATGTACATAGAGTCAAGTAAGAATATTTACGTAACATCACCAACTGCAGCACTATGAGGAGGTGAAGCTAAGGATCAAGCAAGGTTTAAGAAAAGGCTTTCAAGTTTCTGTGACAACGTAGAAGTTCTTGGTGACAGTTAGGTGAATTTAAGTTGTAAGAATTCTTTGTGAATTTCCTATATAGTTCAATTTCAAATTTTCTTGTCAGTTTTGTGGAGATAATTATAAGATACAGTAGGGTGTCGTTTATCCGAAAGCTGGTTATCCAAAACGTCGGTTAACCGAAAGCATTCCAGTTGGCAAATTTAAATTTTCGCTAGTGCTGTGGTGATACAATCTTTGGCTATATCTTGGGCTACTCCAATATTTTTTTGTTGGTGTGTGTGTTTTAGCTGGCAGCACTGGCACTTTCATGTAGTGTTTTTCTGAGGACTGTGTGTCATGCTGAATCGAACGTTTTTGATGCTAGATTAACTTATAAAGTATAATTTTTTTGTTTTTATATTTTTATTTTGTTTGTAAAAAATAAAGAAATAATTTTTAACGATATAATAGCCACGATTATTATTTTAAAAAGTTTACATTAGGCTTAACATCAACGAAAATTCAATGCGAAGCAACACGCAACGGAGAAAAATTTCAACACGGGATAGGTTAATATATTTTTTCGTACATAATTGGTTATCCGAAAAATAAGTTATCCGAACAACCTCAGTCCCCAATTGATTCGAATAAACGACGCTCTACTGTAGTTATAAGTTAATAATTTTTAAGTACCCAAGTGTTGTGAAAGTTCTTTGTACATATTTCTTTTTGATTAGATAAAATATCTTTTTATTATATTTTTGAATTTTCTCTAACTTTATTTCATTATTGTACATATTCGGGCTTAGAATAATAAACAGATTTTTTTTTCATTTGTACATGTAGTATTTATTTTTCAGATTTTTTGATTCATTAACAATTTTTGTTATTTATTGCCTGCATAAAGTCCAAGCCTGGAACTAACTAAACCCTTGTTAATGTAACGATTGTTAGGAAATTTATCCAGGCTTTCAAAGAAAGAAAAAAAAAAATTACAAAGGTTCAGATTACTTGATGTATCACCATTATAAGTGCTTAAACAGATGAAGCTGTTATAACAAAAAAATAAACTGAATCTATACTATAACTTTAACATTCAAAATAAAATAAGGAATCTTAATTTCTAACTTTCCTATGTAATTTTAATGACAGAAAACATTTGAGAATCAATGTAAAAATGGAATAAAATTGTTCAAGGTTTAAAAGTATAACCTAAGCCTATTTGGACTTTCAAAGACTATACTATTTAAGAAAAGTTTTTTTTGTAGAGAAAACAATCACTTTATGCTAGCAGCATCTTCAAATCTTTTAACAGCATAATTCTAACAGAAATGAATGAAAAAATGTAGAGTTCCCTAAATTCAATTGGATACTGATCTTGATGGGTTTTTCTATAAATAAGATTGGCAGATTAGAATATTAAGAAAAGAGATAGTGAATAAGGAAGGTTCTCTGGAGATTAGCCAAATATTTGACTAGTGAGCCTGAAGAAAGTAATACATCATCTTAAATCTTATGTTTGTATTTTGACTGTTTACAGTCTATGGAGTACAAACAGTCAGAATATACTAAGAAGAAAACAATTATAAAGAGGATATACAAACTTCAAACTCAAACTGGCTATATTTAGTACAGTAAATACTTTCATTTTTTGAAGTATTTATACAAATAGCATTGTATGATACCTGAAGCCACAATGAACCTAGTTTTAAAGGCCATCAAGACCTGGAAAAAACTTTTATCATAGTCTATATTTAAATAGAAAAAATATATTCAATCAAGTTAAATTATTTAAATTACATAACATAAAATTATATTAGTGGAATTTTCAGTTTTTACTGTACAGAAACCAGGGTTATTGATCCATTATTGACAAAATTTTGATGAAGATATCATACTAAAAATTTTGGATTTCAAACAAAGTAATTTTGTTGTATTAAACAGCTTTTGTTAGCATTTAGTCCAACAATCAAATTTATTGTAAATTCAATGAACAGCTCAAATTGAGATAAAATTATGAAATTTAAATATCCAATCTACATAATAAAATATTTCTATTATTTTACATTGCAAAAATAATTTAACTTGGCAGTTTTTTTACACAAGTTTATTTCAGAACAATTATATTTATTAAGAAAGAAATTTCTTAAATAATAAGTAACATATGGAAAGCAAAGAACTTCAGAAGTCTGCACTTCACAAGAAATAAATCAATTCCTAATCTGTTTATAAGGATTTATTTTTCAAGATAGATTATGAATTTTTCTAAGTCTAATTTTACAACATATTACTATTTCCATCATTATAAAAAATTTAATGTGTGTTACAGAATTTTTTATGATGTCAGCTTGGTATTATATTTAATACATACAAGTAATGTATATGAAAAGAAAAACAGTATATTATATTATATTAAGCTGAAAACTATGCAACAATAACACTTCAACACAATCATCATCAAGTAGCTAAAATTACTTATCAAAAATAATTTCATTTTCAATTATTCATTATGCAATTAATATCAGAACTATTAATATTATGTATCTGATTTTGATGATCATTATTTACATGATCATCAAAAATAGTTCTGTCATTAATTAATATCAGCAACAAGTAATTTAAACATACAATACCAAACTTACTCATAAACACTTACATAACTATAAAATTCATCAGCTTCACATAAAGCAACATAAAAATATGCATTAAAGTCAAATGTCATGTAACTCACACATTAATAAAGAATTGTAAACAAACTTTAAATCTAATCTTATAGAAAACCTAATTGATATTTGTTCCGTATAATCCATTTTAATATTATTAGTTAATTCTTTTTTTATTTTAACACATGTATAAATTAAACATAAAAAAATCTTTAGTTGGTGCAATACACATAAATAGCACTTACTCAGGAATATGCAAACTAATGAACTTTCTCTCATCATTATTATTATTAGTTACTTATAAAGATAATAAAGTAGGCAGGAATGAATAATTGTGTATATGAGAGAATTTGCATTTTTGACAGAAGTTAAAAATAGTTTAGTTTATAAGTTTTTTTTTCTAATATAAGGGAGGGGGAAAAAGATTCATATTATATACAAGTGTAATTATTTTTTAATACATACTTTTGTAATTAAATTAAACACTGAAACAGCAGATAAGCACCACAATAGTTTTAAATAATAATAGAAAAAAATGATAAATTTCCTTGTTTGTTTTAAGCATATATAAATATTTTTAATAAAAACTTGTAATACAGTAGATCCCCCTATAAGACTGGTTCCTATAATTACGATTCCTATAAGACTGCGAAAAAATTGCAACGGTATTCACCTCAAATAAAT